TGAAGCTAAGCTTAGCTCTGTTCCTCCAAGGTCCGGATTAGGAGTTATTACGCAGAATCGACCTCTCGTACATCCTATTGATGAAGTGGAAAGCAGTGATAATCGAAACACCTGCGTGGTTGAACAACACTAAATGAACCTTTTGATTAGGGCGTTGGAGTGTTATCCACGACAATATCTTTCAGAGGGGAATCTTTGATCTATCTTGTGCAACCTATAAAGAGCAGATGACTAGTCTCGTGCTTGGCCGGATCTATGTGCTTAGGCCTTACTGTGCGTTGGTTTCCTAAATTTTCTTAGCCTGTTAGAGTTGGCTGAGAATGAAGAATGAATGAAAATGAACAATGGAGACCATTCCTCAAAAATACCCATCCACCACTACTTATGAAGCAACACCACTCGACTCCATCTGACTATAGCCCATGAGCGGATAATAGATTTTTGCGCCTCGCATCTTCCTCGCTTGGACTCTCTATTATGAGACACCTGGTCGTCCGGTACACAACCACTTTATGTAGTAGCCCAACACAAGGGTTATGTAATTTCACTCAGATGCCACAACTACATTTTCCCCTAAGAGACTAATAAGCAAGCTTAGTGCTTAGTAAGATATTTCTCGTTCTATCATCTTCATCCCCAAAATATATACTCACTCTTATACCTCCCCAAATTTAAGGGGATATTTATTAAAACAGTGTATATACAGAAAAACTAAAGAGAAAGATTGATTAAGAGTTTTGTGGTGATGATAATGTTATATATTCGTAACAACGCTAAAATATATCTACAATTAACTCTATATTAGTTTTAGGAACTTAATTCATGTGCCCGCTAAGGGACTTGTGCTGTGTGAATTTTGTGGGTTGTTTTTTCTGGAACAGCAACGGTGAGTTAACGTTGATCGAAATGCTACTGCTATGTTAACATTGTCATAGTAACATATTTAGCATCTATATAGTACTTATCTACGTTTCGCGATAGATATAATGGACTGTTGTTGAAGTAACTCCGTTCTAGCATGTAGTGCTCAGAAGAAACGACACAAATAGTCCAAGCAGGCTATGAGAATAATAGCTTGTAGATATGAGAACGAACACGTGATAAACTATCTATATTAAAGATTTGTGAGCAAGGACGAGAGAGATGAATAATGTTATTGGTCTGGATCTGTTCCATACGCAATTATTGAGTGTATATTACAAAATTATGTAATTATGTCGTCTAGTATTTTCTTTTTATTTTTTTCCTTTCATATTCTACTTTGATAGCATTTGGTATCTAAGCAATCTTACCTTGTAACTATTATACCGTTGCTTTAAATAACATCTTTTGTTAAATCTGACCTTAGTCCGTACTTTAACCATTTGTGTCACCCTCACAACTTTGAACTAGGTTGCCGACCCACTACATTTGGTACACCGCCTGCAGTTTACAATTACTCAATCGAACCCTATCAAAAAGAGCATCTGCATCACTCCACAGCGTCTTTGTGCAGTGAGTAAATATATACATTTAAAAAATTTAATAAAATATAAAACTTGTCTATGAAATAATATAATCCAATATATCTTTTGGTCGTCTCTCCTTATTATCGCTCTATTCTGCGATGTATTATTATGGTAGAAATCGATAAAACACTTAACCCATGCACGAATAATTTATTTTATTGAGACCAAGAATATGATCACGATTATCTAGTGATCCTAATTTTGTTTTCCAAAGGGAGCTTCCGGCCTATATTTAATATAAGAAAAATACATAAAAAATTTTGAATGTATCACCTTTCCCTTCCTATTAATAACTTTAATGTAATGGTCTAATAGAAGCTGTCAAACAATCAAATTTAGTGGTTAGTCACTAAGTCCTCCCCATAGTTAGGGAAATAAAATTGAAAAAATACACATTCAATATTTATTATTGAGCAATTTTGTGAGTAATAATAAGTTGTTTGAATTTTGAATGTGTATAAGAAAAATGAATAAGTGCTTGATATATTACTTTGTGATATTTGTCCTAGCCATGGATTAGTTTGTGAGTGGCATATGATAGCTTAATAATTAATATTTGAAGGTGCTATCTATATTTCCAATTTTTGTGTAGTATATATCTACTTGTAAGTCTTGGAATTATAGTTAGACCAATTATTTCAGAATTTTATAAGCATCCTAGAATGTATGATTTTCCAAATGAAATCATATAGTTTACTTATATATAGTTTTTTCATAATATAAAACTAATTATAGCATCTAAAACAACATCAAAAACAAGTACCATAAATAGAGATTACTTAGTATTGCAGTGTGTGTCCGACTTTGATGGAACGTTATTCAATCCAATTCCTATGCGCATCCTCCGGATGTATTAGAAATTTGCCGAAAATGATCACGCCCATGTAGCCACGAAAGTGGGTATTAAAGCAAAACATTATTGCATGCTCGTCTAAGTGTTTGGATTTCTTCGATGCGGCCGTCGTAACACAGTGCTCCATCGATCTATTGGTTCACTGGGTGGCTGAGGTATTAATCATCGTTTTGTTCGAACTGAAAGACCAAGGAGCGTGCGAGAAAATAACATTCCGAGACCGCGGGTGAAATCAGCGTGAGTGCCGAGCTGCAAGTCAGGGTCTATTGTGCGATTCCTAGGCACTATGTTGCCTATAGGAGGTCCAATCTGACGCAATGAACAGGAAGTGAGAGAGCCAACAAAATCAATAACCCAAACCCATCCAATCTTGTTGCCAGGAATTTACCTAAACCGCCATTGCGTAAAACTGATTGCTAAGGCATTCCAATACCAAACTGCAAGAAAGCTTGACTCAGGCGAGCCAGAAAAAGCCCACTATACTGTTTTTCTTTTATAAATGGTGTGGGGGAGTTCTACTACACGTACCGTAACCTCCTCCACAACTTCTACATATTTATGTTCCATATTTAGGATGTATCTTCTTAATTGATTGATAAAACGAGTTTCTTGTCACATACTTTTTACAGGTCAGCAAATCAAGGCTGGCATGAACTCCGCCTTTCGAACGTAATGAGAGCAGCTAGAGTTCCTTCTGCAATGACAATAGACAGGTATGAGCTGCGTGTTTGGCTGGTAAGGGACGGAGAATAGTAACCAGCATCCTGGAAGCTTTTGACCTCCATCACACAGAGATTACTGCATTATGTACCCGGTGCTACAAATTAAGGGGTCAATTCCGAACCAAATTGGTGCTCCGAGCCATGCTGTAAAAATTTCTTGACATTTGTGTCAACACCCGTTACGGTTACAACTATTCAAAATTTGCAATTAGTGACAAGAATGCCATAAAACAGTGTGTAGAGCCAACATGCATGTATATTAATAGAATGAAAATTAATTGGTAATATTGTTTGTATGTCACATCAAAATTTATTATGGAAAAGCTTATCCTTTTCCTTGCTACACCGACATGATTTTGGAGTGAAATATTAGAGTCGCGAATAGAAGATTAAGTATACCTTCCAAATTAGTAATTTCTTAGTCTATTCTTATCTACTCTACATATTCTTTATTACAAGTGTAATTGGCGGTAAAAACGAATAGATCATTGTTAACTATGCATGAATGTTGTGTGTTGTCTTTCGTATCTTATATAATCATTATTATGACTAGTCTACCATTAAAATACACCTCAACATAATTTTGGAGATGCTATACAATTAATCTCCACAACGTGGCTAAACCGGATTCAATATGTCTGAAGTATAACATATACTACTAGCTAGTTTTACTAAGAATAATGAATCGATATCACAAACAAAAGGGTTGGCACAATATACCTGGGAGCTTACTGAGAAGTCATGAGAAAAACTCCTCTATAGTCAAGGGTAGATGCGACATTCGGTTATGATTGCATGCACCACCAACAGTTTTAATGAGTCTCCCTTAAATATTCACCTCTCATGAGTCAGCAAAATGCAACTACGGAAAAAAAAGAGACAAGGAAACATAACTAGTTCTGAGTCCTCAACATTATTTTTCAGTCCGCTCCATTGCCACTGTCACACTCCTGTGTGTTGTAGATGACTGGTTCGTCCATACCCAACACTCATGAGAGTCAAATAACACTATTTTTTACCATTTCTCACAGATATATTTTTCTATTTTTTGTTGCTTTATGATACTAAGTGTCTTATGCTTTACAAGGATAACACATATCAAAAGATAATGTATAGAAACATTGTTAGAAATCGTGCACTTGAGCGTCAAGTGGACCTAGGCGATCTCGAGACTAACAGATGGGCTGCTAAGTGAACGAGGGGTAGTGAGTCGAAGAGCGGGTCTCCTGCGAACGGAATTTGATAATTAAATAGAGTGAGCAGCAGACTAAATCCTGTTGTTCACATACATCACCTCACTATTAATGTAATTGCTTTCTCAAAGATCCAACGCCAACCAAAATATTAAATTATTTATAGACGTAATTTTACCCATATACAATTGAGGTTATCACTTCTAAGCTTGGTATTAACTTAATAGGATTATAGGGATTGAATCGTGTTATTAATTTCATACCTTCGTCCCGATCGACTATATACTATAAAATACCAGTTCATTCACTAATATACTACTGTCCACATATACATAAATAGCGAGTTCTATCCAAATTTTAATAAAGAGCCTTAATTTATCGATTTTATTTTTATGGAACAGTTGCTAACTTATTAACAGTTTGGTATTACGCTAGTCAAAAAGAACTTAAAATCCCCAAACCAGGAAAGACAATCTTATGGAGTGTAAATTCCTTTTTACATGTGGTCGATGACATTTAAAAAGTAGTGACCATAATCCTGTAAAGTGGTGGTAGTTCTTACTCGATTTTGATTACGCTTAATAACTACCCTTAAAATTTCCCAAATCTCAAAAGAGATCAAATTACTCATGAGAGTAATATATAATCTTATTGAACAGTTGGTAATGTACAACTAGTTGGTTTAGCTGTAAATATCTTATTAACAGGGCAGTTGGAATTCCAGATCATTAAATGTTCCTCATACTATTGCAATCCCGGATCGCAAATAGTCAACTTATGTGGGAAGGTTAGTTTACAATGTCTCTACTACACTATCTTCCTATCTCTACTTTCCTCATGCTTCTTAATTAATTTTTTTTAATATTCCAAAATTTGCAGCATACTTGTAAGAACCACCGACTGGGATAACATTACGGCCAACATGTCATGGTTGCTCGATGCTGCAGTTTGCGTAGTACTTGACTTATTTGTATCCTTTGCTAGTCCTCCTGCATATATATATATACACATTTAGTAAATATTTAACAATTACTACACCTACAGCATTCACAGATCACTGTTTTAGCATATCTTTTAACTTAAGTGAAACGTGAGGTGTGTGATAAACATGATACAAATAACCCATATTAAAATAGTCCTAACATTGCATTTAGTAATTACTATACTTACTAGATTTACAGATTACTTTGTTCACACATAACATAAGTGAAATGTGAGAAATATGATTAAAAATATGATCAATAATGTGATCGGTAACTATAAGTACGTATGATACTTATGATTTTATTGATATGCCTTAACAAGCATAACAACAGATAATTTTGCAGTACATCTACTATAAACACTGGAGGAAAGGGACTACAAGAGGTGAAGAAGACTACACGTACCAAGGAAGCAAATAATGGTGTAGCTTCTTGAAAGCACATTTGCATGCATGTATGCTGAAATCAAATCCAAATCTAGAGCACCATAATTAATCTTTCCATCTCCCTATATACTATCGCTAGGGTCTGTTGGATTTGGTATTAAATCAACACGCCTAAACTAAAACAAGAATCAGGACGCAAGATATTTAGATTTGTGTTTCCTAGTTGGTTTGAGATTTGGTTTTAGTATAGGATTTGGTTTCCTATATTCTAAGGACTTTGTGTAAACCTATGACATCTATTAGTATAAATAGATGGATGTGGGATATAGTTTTGTGTGTAAGAGTTTTTGAGAGGCATAAATTTGTATACTTGAGAACACTTTGTGTTTGTGAGTTCTCTTGTATTTGTTAGTAATCAATAAAGCTTCCGTTGTTAGAGAGGTACTCCAATATTGGAGGAATTCTGAAATCATTATGTTTTGTTTATTACTTGATTGGTTTTTTGTTTAGCTTACAACAAGTGGTATCAAGAGCTTAGGTTCTTACGTGGGTTGTGACTATTAAGCAATGACGAAGACTAGTGATTGTATCAGTGGTGATGATGTTGAAGTAAAGTCTAGCACTAGTGGAACCAAGATGATGGTTCAGAGTGCTAGGTTTGAAATTGAGAAATTTGATGGAACGAACAACTTTTTATATGGCAATGTGAGGTTCGAGATGTCCTGATACAACAAGGTTTGGTTGTTGTGTTAGAAGAAATGCCGTTTTCGAAGAAAAAGAAGAATGGGAAAGATTGAATGCTCATGCATATGTTCTACAATTCAGCTATTGGAAACACTACTAGAATATAGGCTATCACCGACGAACCACAAACCGACAAGAAATCCGATTTCTGTCTGAAATTTGACAAAAATCTGACATAAAACAATGTAATGTTGGATTGGAATAGTGACACCATTGCTACCGTCGGTTGAAAGCGACACTGATGTTGACGTTGGTTTAAAGCGACGTATACTTCAACATTACATCGGTTAAAGCGACATCAGATAACAATTAAATAAATAAAATATGCAAACTAGTGACGGTCTTAACCGACACCACCTTTGTTAATAATAATAAAAATATTTCATGAAGAGATGTCGATTGACTTGTCCATGAAGTACTGCACATAGAAATTGTAGAGACAGATTTTGAAGAATTTTGGCAATTCATGAAGAGAAGTCGATTGACTTGTCCACTGCAATTCATGAAGAGACAAATTGCCAGGTGAATTGTCCATTGAAAATACATCTGAGAGAAGAAGCCAAAATAAATATCAAAATTTGAAGAATTTGTACACGGAAATTGCACGAGGGAAAAGCAAGAGGACTCACAATTTGGATCTTCGACCATGAGCCGTTTCTAATCCAATGACTCGACGATCTGCAATTTCGGGATCGTGTTCCCATTGGGCTCGCTCATTTGCTTACTCGCCGAGCCGCCCTCCGCCACACTTTCCTCCTTGGCCTCGCCTTCAATACGAGACAATGCCGTTTCCGTCTCTTCCACGACTCCCTCGGCGCTCCCAATGACAGTCCTCTACCTCAACTCGGCAGCCCTGCGCAAATTCTGAAACTCGGGATCGACGACCTCCGTCGTGATCAAGGAGCTGCTTTGAAACAACACTAATGATGGCATCTTCCCAAAATTAATCGTGAGCCTAATGGTTACAATTCATCATCTTTAACTTTGACCATCTATATTGTTGTTGAACAGATCAATCATGGTGGTTTTGGATCAATTACTCATTCAAATATGTTTGATAAAGATGGCGAAGTCAAAAGTTTTAAAGGGGAACAACCCAGGGCTCCGAATTATTTACAGAACACAGTAGATGCTACGTATCAGAGCAATGAAATTGGTTCCCATGATCCTAAAAGGGCTTCTAATAACATGTTGTGGCTGCAAAGAAGGAGTAAAGAAGAAGCTGCTTTACTGAAGGGGCTGTGTTCTCTTCCTTTATATTTAGCATTTTGTGTGGGAGTGGTGTGAAAATTTCAAATTTCAAAATGTTTGAAATTTTGCAAAAGTTTAGTGACCTGCCTTTTTAAAATTTTATAACTTAAGTATATATGAATTTGGTAGATAACAAAATGACACCAGGTTTTAAAATATTTAAAAATATTATTAGTGTCAACTGCAACCGACACCGGGTTTCAAAATATTTAAAAAAAACTAAAATCTATGTTGCTCAGAACTGACGCAGGCTTTAAAATATTTAAAAGCAATACTTTGTGTCGCTGAAAAGCGACATTATTTTGTTTAAAGCGACACCAGTATTTAAAAATTATTAAAATATTTGTCGGTTATAAGATACATTAAATGTTTACTTCGGTTTAAAAGCGACGTAAACATTTTATGACGCTTATAAGGGACAATAAATCCGACGTCATGTTCAGTTAGTGTCGCAACTGTCTTGTCCGCCACTATATTATATTAAACCGATGCCACCTACTGACACTATAAGGCCCTGTTGTAGTAGTGGAAAGCAACATAAGTATGGTGTGATGAACATAACTTCCATGAATGAATTGTGGGCTATATTGGAGACAAAATATATGAAGAATAGTGCAGAGAATCGACTGCATCTCAAGGATAGGAAGCATCAGGATCAAGCATCATGATGGTGTAATTCGAGAATTGCATGGTGTAAGGTACGTCCCAAATCTGAAGAAAAATTTGATCTCACTAGGCACTCTCGAGTCACAAGGCTACAAGTTTTACTCCAATAACAATGTGCTCAAAGTTACTAAAGGAGCACTTGTCATAATGAAAGGGCCTCGAAATGGCTTACTTTATATGCTACAAGGAAAGACTTTGGAAAATGGAGTGGCTATGATAGCTGATGAAGTGCAAAGTGATAAAAGTGACTTGTCTGCATTATGGCACATGAGGTTAGGACATGTAGGAAGGAAAGCATTACAAGGATTGATCAAGCAAGGGTGTTTAAAAGAAGCAAAAACAGGAAAGATAAAGTTCTATGGGCACTGCGTTCTTGGCAAACAAACAAAGGTGAAATTTGGCTCAGCTATTAATCAAACGAAATGGATTTTGGACTATGTTCATTCTGATGTTTGGGGGCATGCAAAGAATGCTTCTTTAGGTGGAAAAATGATGGTTTATATCTTCTATTGATGACTACTCTCGTAGCTCATGGATATATATGATGAAACGAAAGGACAAGGTTCTTGACATCTTCCTGGAATGGAAGAACATGGTGGATAACAAGAATGGAAATAAGATTAATATACTGAGAAGTGACAATGGAAGGGAATATACCTCTGATCATTTCTTCAAAGTGTGTAAAAAGGAAGAGATTACTTGACATTTCAGTGTTAGACATACTCCACAGCAGAATGGGATTACAGATGGACTAAATAGGACCTTGCTTGAGAAAGTTCATTGCATGCTATCTTAAGCTAAGCTACCAAAGAGATTTTGGGTAGAAGCTTTGAGCTATGCATGTCATGCGCTTAATTGACTATTATCAACAACATTAGAGGGTAGAACACCCATTGAAGTGTGGTATGGAGAATCAGATCAAGACTACAATAAGCTACAAGTGTTTGGATGCAATGCCTACTTTCATGTGAAGGAAACAAACTGGATCCATGAGCCAAGAAAGCTATCTTTATGAGATTCAATAATGGTGTGAAAGGTTTCAGACTTTGGTGTCTCGAGTTGAACAAGATTATAGTAAGTAGAGATGTGACATTCGATGAAAGTCACATGAAATTGAAGGAAAATGTTCAGATGGTGGAGCTTGGGGAACAAGTAATTGTGAATTCACAACCAAATAAGGAAGTTGTGGAAGAACAAAGACAAGGTGATCAACTTGAACATGAAGATAGTGATCACGAAGAAGAAACACCATCAGAATAACTAAAGATACAAGATGATTTCATAGCCAAAAGGAAGGGAAAAAGAGACATATCCCTACCTGCGAGATATAAAGATTGCATGGCCTGCATGGTATATGCATTGCCAATAATTGAGGCTGAAATTCCCACTAATTTTGAAGAAGCAGTAAATAGTGAAGAAGAGAGTAAATGGCATGATGCAATGGACGATGAAATGTTCTCCCTTCACAAGAATAAGACTTGGGAATTAGTAGAGTTGCCTAGAGGAAGGAAAGCAATTGGCTGCAAATGGGTTTATGCAAAAAAGGATGGAGTGGATGACAAGAGCTTGGTAAGATTTAAAGGTAGGCTAGTGGCTAAAGATATACTCAAAATGAGGGAACAAATTACAATGAATTTTTTTTCTCATGTGGTTAAACACTCATCCATTCGAATATTGCTTGCCCTAGTTGCACAATTCAACCTTGAATTGGTACAACTAGATGTGAAGACCGCATTCTTTCATGGTAATTTGGATGAAGAGATTTATATGAGACCAACCCGAAAGGTATCAAGTGAAGGGCAAAGAAAAATTGGTTTGTAAGCTCAGAAAATCTTTTTATGGTTTGAAGTAGTCACCCATGCAGTGATATTTGAGATTTGACAAGTTTATGAAGGGTCAAGACTATACAAGAAGTCACTATGATCACTGTGTTTATCATAAGAAGTTGAAAGATGGTTTGTTCTTGTACTTGTTAATCTATGTGGACGACATGCTCATAGCTTCAAGCAATATTTCAGAGATAGAAAAGTTGAAGGAGCAAATGAGAAGGGAGTTCGAAATGAAGGATCTCGGTGAAGCCAAAAAAATATTGGGAATGGAGATCACAGGGATAGACAAAAAGGGTTGGTGTGTTTGTCCCAGAAGCAATATCTTGAGATGTTGTTACAAAAGTTTAGAGTAACAAAAGACACTAAGCCTGTAGAAACTCCATTAGGTGCTCACTTCAAGTTGAGCAGTCAACAATGTCTCAAAACTAATGAAGATGGATGGTATTCCATATGCTAATTTGGTTGGAAGATTAATGTATGCTATGGTGTGTACTTGTCCTAATATAGCACATGTAGCTGGAATTATTAGTAGATTCATCCATAATCCTGGAAGAGAGCATTGGAATGCTGCTAAGTGGATACTAAGGTATTTACATGGAACGAGGGACAAAGGTATTTGTTTTGAAAGATGTGATAAAGGAATTGATAAGTTCTCAGCTGAATATGTGGACTCAGACTTTGCTAGAGACTTAAACAAGAGAGATCGACGACTGAGTATGTGTTTACTATGGCAAAGGGTCATATATGCTGGAGATAAATATTACAACCAATGGTGGCACGATCAATCACATAAGCAGAATACATAGCGATCGCTAAAGCAATCAAAGAAGCACTGTGGACTCCTGGGGTTGTTAGGAGATTTAGGTGTAGAACAACACAAGTTGGATGTATATTGTGACAGCCAAAGTGCCATTTATTTGGCCAGATATCATGTACATCAAGCTAGGACTAAGCACATTGATGTGCGATATCATTTTGTGAGAGAAGTGGTAGCTGAAGGTGAGATTCGTCTAAAAAAAGGTTGCTACAGAAGATAATCCAGCTGACATGTTGACAAAGGTGGTTAATACAACTAAGTTCAAGCACTGCTTAGATTTGATGCATTTGAAGCAAGTTTGATCTTGCGATATAGTGAAGCAATGGAAGTTGTTTGATGCCTCGTTATGGATTTCATGCCAATGTGGAGATTGTTGGATTTGACATTAAATCAACATGCCTAAACTAAAACAAGGATTATGATATCTTGGACGCAAGATATTTGGATTTGTGTTTCCTAGTTGGTTTGGGATTTGGTTTTAGTATAGGATTTGGTTTCCTATATTCTAGGGACTTTGACATCTATTAGTATAAATAGATGGATGTAGGATAGAGTTTTGTGTGTGAGAGTTTTTAAAGGGGCATCAGTTTGTATACTTGAGAACACTTTGTGTTTGTGAGTTCTTTTGTTTTTGTTGATAATCAATAAAACTTCCGTTGTTTGAGAGGTACTCTTATATTAGAGGAACTCTGAAATCATTGTATTTTGTTTATTACTTGATTGGTTTTTGATTTAGTTTACTACAGGATTAGCTCTTCTTGTTTGAGTGAATGATCAAACTTTGTATTTTAATATTTTCGAACTAGGAATTTTTTTTTTTTATAATTTATTTCTTGGGTGCATGAGTTCATTGTAAGTTTGGAATTTGAGAATACTGCGAGCGATTATACGTCAGGTAAAGCAGAAGCAGTAGTGGACTTGAAGCCTTCTCCATCGTTGATAGTAACAATATAGTGCAAGTTTATGTGGCTATAGTCTTACATTGATGATTGCTCTTTTAATTTATTTACCATGGAAAGCCATTTTCATCACCTAATTACTTTCTTTCCAAGGTGATCTTAGGAGATATTTGACAATAGGAAAGATAGTAAGTCTAATATGTTTGGTAGGTATATCACGAATGGAAGTGTGTAATTGTACTGTAATAGTGGCTCAACTTTATATCCTATTTTTGTTTTGGTCGATTTCAATAATTGGATGTGATTAGCTATCTTTTGCCAAATGAGAGAGGGTTGGGGGCAAGGGGAGAAAGGGAGACGAGAGATATGTTTATAGAATTATAGGGGAATTGTGTTGAGGATATATTATTCCTTTTACGTAATATATTTATTTATAGTAGTAAAAAGGAGAAAAAAATTCTTCATCCCCAAGGAATACAAGTCCACATAAAAAAGAATAACTAGAATCAAATATAATCTAAAACTTATACCATCACACTTAAACTAGGAAAATTCATAACACCTCCAGCTTTATTAGGGACTGGATTTTTCTCTTTTGTAATTTATGCATTGGTATATGAGCAGTGTTCGTGTCAGTTGCCCACGCATTTGGGTGACTATATATTATATTATACATATACTAAAACCCAAACTCTCGGATGCACTGTTTTTTGAACAGTAAAATGGCGGAAATGCCCTCCAAATTTTTTCTCATCAGCAGTATCTTTTAGCTTTTCTACAGTACAATGACGATTCTGCCCTTGGAGACCACGCGTCTGTCATCGGTGGTTCTTCCGCTCCATTTCTACTCTGCCTTTTCTTTGGGTTCCCTTCTCTCTCTCTCACTATTTTCAGCCCTTCCTTATTTTGGAGCCTAGGTTTTTTCTCTCTCCCACGCCTTCGTTGTTCTCGCTATCCGTCCTTCGCGTCTTTGTCTCGCCGATTTTTCACGGCCGTTTTCTTCTCGGAAAACTATCGATCTCTGGTGAGTTTTTTGCAGTTCTTGCCGTGTCTAATTTCAATTTTTTTTTCGTTGTTTGGGTGTGGCTTTGCGATGCGGTTTGATTTTTGGTTCCAGGAAAAGTTATCGATGCGATCTAAGGTTTTTTGGTGAGTTTTCTGCTTTTCTGATTGTATGTTGTTTGATTCGTTTTTCGTGCTTTGGGTCTGCCTTTCTGATCTGCTTTCATATTTGGTTTCAGCAAAAGAAGTTGTTTGAATTTTGGCCTTTCTGTCTGCAACCTTGCAAGCTGTTTGCGATCAAGGTATTTAACTTTTTTTTTTTTTTGGTGTTGGTTCTTTCTCCGATGATGGTTTGTTTGATTGATCAGAAAATGAAATAAATAAATTATGAGATTTAAACTGAATTATGCTTCATTTAATTAAATCTTTGGTTTTGTTGGGTTGTCATTGTTTGCCCTGTTCTAAACTTATATGTGTTGGGTTGTCAATTTTTTTCGGTTGTCATTTTTTCCTTTTATTTTCTGCTGGAAGCACTATTATATTCATGCTAATTTTGATGAAAAGGAAATGTGTGTTTAATTGAAGGATTAAATATGTATGAAGCAGGACATAGTATGCTATAATACATTTTTCCTTTTATTCTCTGTTTCTTCGTTGTCAATTTCATAGGATTTGGGTTTGGGCGGATCAATCCTGCAAACCGCTTCAATAACATGTCTTGGAACTCAATTAGCCACTATTAGCGTAGCCTCCATATTCTTGGTAATACACCAGAACCGATCATCTCATGGCTTGAAAAGGATGGAAAGACTAATCCAGGGCAATCACATAGCATTAACTCATCAGACATAATCAACGTTTGGCAATGCTTTGTCTTATTTTTTTATTTTTTTATTTGATTAACAATTCAAACTTATCTTTATATTTATTAGTATCTTGATTTCCTTGACAATTCAAGCATATCTTTTTTGTGTTTCTTTTTTTCTGGGTGTTTAATTTTATTTGAATTTCTTAATTTGTTCAAAGGATGCTTTGGTTAGTGGCCATCTTATTTAATGATTTTTTTTTTCTTTTGGTTTTTTAGCACAAATGGTATTGGTGAATGGTGAAGAGGTTTGTATGGGTTCATATATCTTAAACATGTAGTGAGAAGTGAGGGTTTTGTTTTAGTATTTTAAATAATTTGAGGAACATGTAGATACTATGATTTGTGGTTGCTTTCTTAAACCATGATAAAGCAGTCCATGTAATTTTAACATAGATATAATTTTTTATCTAATGCATGAGTATATGAAATGTTAATACGATAATATATTGGGCAACACTATGTGATTTAAAATGAAAAGAGAGACAATGAACCATGTTTGATATTTTGTTTGTGTTGGTTTTTTTAAATTTGAGCTTTTTTGAGTTGGATTTATGTGTTTTGTTTAAGATATCATTTTTGGTTTATGAATGGTTTGCCAGTGCGAAAGTTTGCTTATTTTATATGGTTGGATTCATGGGTTTTCTTAAGGTTTGAAGTTCTTAGTTTTTATTAAGAAATTTAATATGGGTTTCATTTATTTGTGAAACTAGCACTTTTTTTGTGAAGATTTTCAGTAAATGATTGCTTATTTGGCTTTAAATTTGATCTCTTTAAATTTCCAGGTTGTTCTAGACTTTGTCAACAGTGCAGAGTTGTCTTCGGCAGAGCTCGATAGCAACTCTAGGTCAGTCTGAATTGCGAGTAGATATGATTTTTCTTTAATTTATTCATCTTCTTTCGAATTTATGTGCAAATATTTTTGAAGCCCAAGTGATTCAAAGTTCAAATTTATTTGTAAAGTATAAGTGTGGGTGTGGACACCCAATATGACTTTTAAATGGTGTTGCTATCTACTATTTGACAGAATTATATTGGGGACTGTCTAAATTTTGGTTTTAGCTGTAGATGAAGCGAAATCAAAAGGTTATAAATTAGAGATATAATTTAATTATTATATTTGATGCATCATTTGATTAAATGAATACAGTAGGAACATTGATTTGACGTATGTGCTTTCGCATGGAAAACTGAATTTTGTGTGTTTATAAGTGTGTATATACTCAATATTTATTTTAATTACAATGGAATTGACTGAAAATTATGGAGAATTAGTGTAAGTTTACACATAAAGAAATAGAATGAAAATGTAGGTAAAGAAAAATTAGAATGTAATACATAATATCTTTGTCTCTGTGTGGGTGTGTGTGTGTGTGTGTGTGTGTGTGTAAGGGATTGATGACTAAATGTGCTACGTGAAGAGATTGCTTATTTCATTAGTTAAGGGCAGCACTTGATAGAAGCGTAACCAAACCCAGGTAAGAGTCACATTTTGGTTGCCTTCCTATCCTTATTTTTTGTATTTTTCACTTAGCTCTATGTTGTTAACTGCAAATTTTGGTATTTTGTTCCCTTTAGTTTTATCTGCTAATTATTGTTCTATGAATTGTATTCTTCAGTTAATTAATGATTAACTAGAATGTCCCCAAACAAAAAAAAAAAAAAAAAAAATCAAGCATTACAATGTTCGGGATGATAATTTACATCTAATATGATCATTAGCCAGTCGAGAACCTAATTTGGGAATTGGATTTTAAAGTTTTAATAGTTTTGTTGTGTGTAAATTTCTTGCTTTGCCTACCAAGAATCCAAAAACTAAAGGCTTAGTTATTTTCCCCAAATGGTTTTCAATTTGTTGTAGGTAAACAAGAGCTACTAGACTATTATGCACAGGGGACTGGAAGGAAAGTAAAAATTCAAGCTTTTAATACAAATTGGAAATTGAGCGACACTAAACAAATGATAGGTAAAACTGACCACTACTTTCTTTCCGTTTAAATATAAATCAATTGATTAAGTCTGTGTTTTAAAATTAAGTATCAATTGTTTTCAAATTCTAACAACGATCTCCTACGCTTTAAGATAATCTATTTAGTTTTGATCCACTTTTAATTACGCAGAATTTCAATTTTTTTTCCATATAAAGTTTCCATTTTTCTTCGGTAAGAGAAGAAGCTTTAATTTGGGTTTACAATTTTTCCCCTTGTAGATTTTCAAAGTAGGACCAAGCTTTCAAAAGGCACTTCAGGTTCTGGAATTATTATTATTATATCAAGAGGTCGCACTTGGTATGATGGCAAGTGTCTTCGTCCATGAGCGGTAGGTCTCGGGTTCGAGACTTGGGAGTAGCCTCTCCATAAATGTGGGTAAGGCTAGCCGACATTCACCTTTCCCAGACTTTGTGTAAAGCGGGAGCCTTGTGCGCTGGATACGACCTTTTTTATGCTTTTGTTATATCAGGTTCTAAATTGCACATACCATTTCTTTAAATTAGAGAAAATTAAGCACGATCTTGCTTATATACATATTGTTATTTTAAGAAACAATTTTGTTTGTCTTTTCTATAATAAGAACAACAATTTACTTTTGGGTTTCGTTCTTACCTGATTTCTGAATTTATGCCCAAGTCTAATCTACTCCAAAGACAGGCAGAGCAAAAGGAGGAATGTTTAAGCAGGTATGTGTACCATGTGTTTTATTCGTTCTTAACTTCATTGTTGGTTTCTGTACTATTTTTCTGTGTCTAAAAATTTGAAATAAATATGATCTTTTCACTGTTGATTCTCATTCCAAGTTTTTTCCACAGAAAATAAAATAACAAATAAATATTTTGTTTCCCTTCTTCTACTTTGTTCTTTTGCAGCAAAATAAGCATGATTTTGTTGGTACTACTTATTTAGTGAAACAATGGTTTCATATTGTGAACCGTTTTGCGTGTTTATCACTTTATTCTTTATGGTTTCAATTTCCTAGATGAAGTGTGACACGTATGGAATTTCACAATTTACAACCATAAACTTCATTTCTCCCATGGACACCTTTTTTGTTCCTTATTGTTGATAGAGTTGTAAATAAATTTGCACATGTAAATAGTATTGTCTACTGTATATACATATATATATATATAATATTTTTTTAGAATTTCTGTGTTATACAATTTTCATTTCCGCAGCAAAGCGCGGGCATCCTTGCTAGTCTTAACTATTAGCGTAGTCGAGATCAAAGTTACTTTGCGTTAAATTGAAAATTACTAAAATTCTGAAATGACAATTAGATTTATTATTTTGGTTCTATGAGCTAGTATATTAAGCTTCAATATTAACTTACACTAGGTACTGAATTCATTTGGTTAGTACAAGAAAATTCTCATCACTCTACTTCACTGTACAAGGTAAACCCTAGACTCCTCTCTTTGCGGAGTTTGGGCTCCCTTCGCATTTCTTTTGCCTTTAGGCATAATGAAAAACTGGAAAACTATTTTCTTTGAATATTGAAATATATATATATATATATATATATATATATATATATATATATATATTAACCTTCAAGAATCAATGTTGCGGAGGTTTTAAGAGTTGGAAAAAAGAAAATATCATTTTCAGTGACCACTATAATTTGTTTTTGCTCTTTTGTTCTTGGTAGTCCCAAACTTTTAAGGAAATTTTAACGAAAAACTTTTAATGCTTAAAGTCAGAGCCGCTTATTCTCTTATATTGAAGAAACTAGTTGCGTCAGTACTCGAGGGTTACGGTGCTATTCGTATTTCATTCATTTGCATTTTGTTGTTCTATTTGTATGATTGATTTTTTCGGGAGTGAGGGAGGTTTTAACAGGTTAAAAATTTGCTCATAGTAAAAATTATATATATGTGTAATATAATGTTGGAAAAATTAGGGTCTAATTGCTATATTAAATCACATAAAGAATCAAGAAATAATTCATGCACTTATTATACATCAAAGTAATTCATACATATGGGTAACCAATATTAAATGAACATGATATAATGGATTAGAAAAACCTAGAAAATACGGTTGAGGCAAGTGTCGGACACTTTGTCCTGAAGACAAGTTTATGTCCCATTATGGTGCTCATGGTTGATCGGCGCATGTCTTTTAAGATACAACGACCACTTCCTTGTAATAGTAGCACTCCAAATCACAAGGCTCTATGAACCATGATTGTGTTGAAAATTCTTTTATATGGACTCAATGAGACTTTTTAATATTTAGTGCACTCTATGTATAATTATGTAAACAATTAAAAGTTATTTTGTGATTATAGTGAGCTTCCCTATTTATAGAATGTGAGATACCTCTTTGGAAAGGATGTGACCATTGATGAAGAGTCAAAAGTTGCAATTCTTCATTTGAGTAGACACATATTTTTACCAAAAGACTCCACTTCTAATTTCCATTCAATTAATAAATTTAATATAATAATATTATTATTAAATTTGACAACATATGAATAATCTTGGCATATATGTAACTAGAACCACGGTAACATCCTAGAATTAATGAAACATTCCACAAATTTATATAATATTCTCGATAAAATCAATTCAACTAGATTTCAATCTGCAGCAAGAATATATTTAAACGACTTGAGAATTAGGGTAGATAAAACACTGAATTCAAATCACCAACATCAGCCAACAAGCCTCACAAGATTAAGAAATGAATTGGTCCTCTGATTTGAGCTTGGTGACATTGCTCCAGAAGGAGAATTAGATGGTGAGGATGGATATGGAGACGAACTTGACGCGAATCATCTGCCGAGGATGCAGAAGGAGATTTGTTTCGAATTGCAACATAATCATCTGATGAGGATGGAGAAAAAGATATGCTTGGACTTGTGACCAAATTTTCTGGTAAGTACAGAATATTAACCCTTTAATTTCCTCCAATATTTACATAAGTATGTCACAAACAAATTAACTTTAAGTAACAACGAGTTAGGGGAGGAAATTCTACAAATGCATTAAGATCTAAGACATGAAATATATTTTTAGCACATAGTTAATTGACATGGAATAGTTTTCTTCCATCTTACTTACATTTCAATTTTACAAGAAAAGTTAAAATATATACGGCATGAAATATTCATTTCTCATGTTGCAAGAGAAATGTGATTGTTAGGTAAACTCTGTTTCACAAAACTTTTGCCTCTATCTTTCACCAAGGACTTCGTGACCTCCATGTTTGCTTGCGTACCAAGTCTAGAAATTTATTTTGCAAAGTAAAACTTTTGGGTCCGACATTCAGAGCCTTGTTGAAACAAGACTAGAGGGGCAACTTCCATAAACGCAACAAGGCCATGAGTATAATTATAAATATAAATATGTTCTCCGCCTAGGGTTGGGTAATGGATAGCATAAAACAGTGAATGAGAGCCTAGATTACTGATCAAGGAAACAAAAGAGAGCATCGGTGTGTTAAGCTAGTCAAAATTGATATCTTCGCTCTGCCCCAGTTATGTTGTTTGCTAGTGTCCAGAAAACATCAGTGGGCGATTAGCTCTGGTTAAAAAACCAATATCTTTATTTTCATGCCTGAAAGGGTCCCCACCATATATTGTCAGATTTTTTTTTTCGCTAACTTGGTAAATATTTGGTGTAAAATAATTTAATTATAGCTATTTTTTTATGCAGTTGCCCATCCAATTGTTTTGCACCTTCAAACACTTTGTTTACGTTTCTAATATTAAGCTGTGTTTGTTAGCCTTATAAGGTTATACAATTAAAACACAAACGAAGGAGTGACCAACTTGATTCTAGTTGTAATCATGGTACTCGAGTAAGGAGGGTGAAGGGCACGGAAACACCAATGTCTTCTACAAACATTTAGCCGGATACAACTACTCTATGGGAAACATTATGTTGTGTGTTCTAAGGCTTATAGAGACCGGTATTTTATATATGCTAAAAGCTAGGGTTTCCATCTATAAAGGAAACCTTAACTTACTTTCTTAGCCTCCAAGTCAAGTATCTTAATCATATTCAATTAATGATTTCATCAATCCTATTTCCAATATAAGACACCTTATATAGGATTGATATAATTAAGAGATCAAATCACAATCAACATTATTCTCCAATATTACATTCCTATTACATGTAGTAGACCACTTAAAGGTTGATTTATATTGGATAAATCCAACATTCTCCCACTTGGTCTACAAAATATAATATTCACATTTATACTTGAGATTGGAGACTAATGTAGTTCTTATTGCAATTTCTGTCAAATGTAGTTCTTTACATGGAACTAACAAGGTTGTAAGGTTGACACAACTCAAAACCTTCATAATCACACATGCTAAGATCCTCATTCAGATGAAACACAAATAATGATCAAGAGATAAAACTTTAAACCAAAAACCAAAATGTCTTACTTTATATTATCTCAGGTCCATCTTATTCTTCTTCAAAGCCTTAAATCTGCCAACGCAAATATCCTTCATCTAATAAAACCAACATAACCTCTCCAAAACAATCATGCATCACTTTCATTAGACCAATAACCAGACAAGCAATGTTTGTAGCCAACAGACACAATTGAAAATACCAAATAGGCACATGTTCAAGTAAAATATCCCAAAACTTCATTAAACAAATTAAATCAACACTTGTGAGCAAGATGAATTAACATGTTTTTGACACTGATCTATGCACCATACCAGTTACTTTCATGGTGATTTCCAACACTTGCGGGCAGATGGAAATCCTCACAACTGAGGCAGTGCATAAACCATGCCATGCTATTTGATAACAACTTGATATTCAATATATATTTCATCAGATAATTGACTAGCACAAGAAAAAATGTGACTTAATGAATCCAACTAAAGATTAAAATGAATACATGGATTCTATACATACCTTATAGGTCATCTGCAAATGTAAGACATTACTAATACGACGTTACTTAATTTGCAAATCAATACTTAAATCATACTTTTGAAAATACGCCTTTGGGAATAGCTTTACTTAGTCAATGAATGCATATTACCTCAATGAATTCATCACTGTTACACAAAAACATGCATCCAACAACCACATTATATGTACAAATAATTCCACATTTATGCTAAGTAGTCCTTATGAGCCCCAAAACAAATTATCAACCGAGAAATCCAAATGATTGCAAGTAATAGAAAAATGTACGCATATACCAAGTATCAATTCGTGCAACTTAAACAAATTATAGACATTTGAGTAACACAAATTCATGGAAGATAGAATAAAGCTTTAACAGATCCATGCAAGTCCACTTAATGCTCAAAATTTTAGAACAACTCCTACTAAGTTTTTAGAGTTTATACTTGCAAATAAGTTAATGAGTGTGAAGCCCAATTTTCGTTCACTAATTCTCCCACTTGGGCAAACACTCATTAATATATTCTTTCAAAGATGTACCTAAAGAAAATTGCTTTATATTTTAGACATAATAAATAGACATCACAACCAACATAAAGTTGTCAAACAGAATTTCAGCAATGAGTTACACTTTAGAATTTATCATAATTAATTTACAAGCTTGATTGCTACCAAAATCATATTGATCAAAATAGACATACTAACCTTCATAAAATAAAAATATAAAGCCATTTTGGATCAAAATAGTAGTGTAAAGTGACGTCTCAAAAAGACCAACACAATCTACTAGTAAAACTATCTATACAAGCACGGGTTACTATAAATTCACCGTAATTAAAGTACATGGCAAAAAATTACGAAAATTTGTAGACACATAGTAGACATATGTTGAACATATAAAAAATTCAGGTCATTCGGTGACCATTAGACGTGTCATTAATCCGAATGTAATCAAGGCATGCAATTTGTCAGAAAAATTATGTTCCTCTATCATGAAACTAAACATCTCTAACCAATTCAATTTCACATTATTTTAATTTTGATGTCCAAAGGAAACTCAAGTAATCAAATTTCATCCTCTAAACAGACATCATAGTTCAAAATTGAAAATATTTACAAACATTATACTTAAACAAGGCGTACCTTAACAATCCTTGATTAACCTTCATGGGTTCAATACTTTGCATCAACGAGTCTCATCAAGAGACACAAAAATATGTCATGATGCGACCGATTTTCATGCCTTAAAACCACAACCTATAATGGGGCTCATAGTGGAAGTATTTGTAACTGAAGACATGAAACTTTATTCCCAATAAACTTGAAACTAGATTAATTTACACCTGCGAGCTAGAAAATTAACTAGTTTTTAGTACTAGATTATATGTCACAAGAGTACCTACATGAAAAACTTCAACACCTGTGGCAAATGAAACTTTCACAACTTCTGTGAAATAAAACCCATACTATGCCATCTTAATTAAACTAAAAGAAATAATCCACACTTGCGGGCAAGAAGATTACCCTTTTATTCTAATTAAGATGCAATGTTGACCAAAATAACTCAAAAACACAATCCCATCGTCAACTAAGCCGTATGCTGTTGTGGCTTGCTTAGTTGAAAAGGCATTGATCAACTCCGCCAGGAAACAATACAAGAAGTCATATGGATTAATTAATTGTAAGTGACAAAATTATGATAATCTGATTCGAACTTCGAGTCTTGCCAACAAATGACACTAATTCCTTCATGACTCATTTTTTACATTAAATTAATCTCAAGAAACCTGACAACATACTTGAAAGAGATGAATCACATATAGAACAAGTTTTATTCCACAACAAGAATGTTAATATTTATCATTATGGAGTCAATTACTTAAAATAGAAATACTTTATCTAATGGGAAAGAACAATACATTCCTTTACTTTAAAAGCTAAATTGCTCAAATGTTTTTTTAAGTCAAACGGGTTCCTTTCCTTTTATATATTTCTTTCCGTAGTACAAGACTACTAAACATAGCATTAAAATCATGCATTAGCTTTGTAAATACCAAATTAAATAAAGGAATAACCAAAGTTATTTTCTTCCATAGAAAACATCTCCAATATATACCCTACATTAGCCTTGAAAACTTTCTTTTCTTCTCCCCTTATGACATTGACACATAAAATTTAGTAATCAAAGCACTGTTTAAATTTTTGGCATAGGAAAATCCACAATCAATAATACATGTTTGAAATTCATGGTTATCAATTAGGTTACATACTTTGCTCATGCCTTCATATGTTCACTACTTCTTTATAAACATATATATAATCACATGACCACCATAATTCTCATATAAGAATAAATAGAATACAAATGAGAAGTGTCACATAATTACTTCAAACCTCATTCATTTGTATAATGTTCTTGTTCTTGCCACCGGATGCTTTCTGTCTCTCTTAATCAATCCACATGTTATGCATCAATTTCATAGTTAATTAATCATGTACAATTAAATAACTATACTGAGATAGGAAAGCAAAAGTGTAGACAAAACTAATTTGATTAGTCATGCAGATTCCTTATGGAGTTAATATGACTTTAAACATTACTTGAATTAATCCCCAGTCATACTCAAGTACGAGTACGTATATCTGGACATAACAATAATTGTACAGCATTATTAGTGCTAATCTGCCAGATTTATAATATATTTGTGTCTTTGCATAGAATCATCTCAAGCAATATAAGACAACCCAATCCCTTTAAAAAGAAATATGCCCTATGTCATTTTGCTACATGTTTGCAAATATTAAAATTTTTAATTCATATTGATTATTTCCAACAACAACCAATGACATGGCTAGCTATTACATTCGATTTATATATATTTCCTACACATTATCATGTGACATAACTGATTCAAAATTGATTTCCAAGAATTTATTTTACCTATGAAAAAACAGTGCAATAGACTACTAGTGCCGAAACACCCAAACTATTTTGACAGAATATAGTCTCTAAAACAAGTAAAATAATTTATGCATATTTACATATGCTTCTCGGTATGCCTTTCATATGCATATAAGAATTCTTTATGTTCAAAGCATATATTTATGTTGATGCACAAAATCGGTGAATACTTTGGTACAACAGAAAGTGTCAAGTTTGTGACCTTCGCTAGACTGCTCCGGTCACTAGTGTGGATAAGTATGCAAATGAATAGAGATAGGGAAGCAAGCACAAGATGTACGTGTTTCACCCAGATTGGCTACGTCCACGGAGTAGAAGAGTTGTCATTAATTGTGAAGGGTTTACACAAGTGCATAGGTTCAAGCTCTCCTTTAGTGAGTACTAGTGAATGATTTAGTACAAATGACATTAGGAAATATTGTGGGATAATGATCTCCTTTTATAAAAGAGAGTTTCTAACTTTGTTCTGACATTGACACGTGTCGTGTTGTAATTGGCTTCTGATGTTGACACGTGTCACGCTATGATTGGCTTCTGATGTCGACACGTGTCGCTCGGTGATTGGCTTCCTGGTTGGAGGGAAACTCTTCTGGGTCATTGACGGTATAACGTTGATCGGTGCTCGGTAGTTTCGGGATTGGTCAAGTATGGTACAAACAGTGCTCCTCTAAGTTCCTGAATGAAAGAATCTCCTCGGTCGGGGACTTGCAAGATGCAAGCCGCTGAGGAATCACGAAACGTCTAAGTACCGAAGTGTGGAGAGCAATGCCTCTTCGATTTTCGAACAAGTAATCATGTCGGGGATCTGGCTCTCGAGATTCGGAGAACGGTGCCTCTTCGATTTTTGAGAAAGCAATCTTGTTGGGAATCTGGCTCTTAAGATTCGGAAAGCGATGCCTCTTCCATTTTTGAGAAAGCAATTCTGTTGGGAGTCTGGCTCTCGAGATTCGGAGAGCGGTGCCTCTTCAATTTTTGACGAAGCAATCCTGTTGCGAGTGTTTTCTTGAATGTGAGTAAAGGTTGGGCATTTTTGCCAATTTGCCTTGCCATGAAGCATGAAGGTTGACACACATAGGGACTTTCCAATTATTAAGCAGTGGTGCTGTTCCTTTTCCCTTGTGGGTAATGGTAGGGTAGCTGGACCTTCAAAATTTATGTTTCTAAACTTTGTCAGAGATCTTTGGCAAAGTTATCTGTGGTACCCGAGGAGCTGATGTTGCGTGTAGGGATTGTCGACATATTTTACTCAGGAAAATCTG